CTCGAGATCGATTAAAAAATGCCTTGAATCCGGGTTGAGACTGAGGCCGGTTGGTAAACAAGCGCTTAAAAAGTGCACCGGAATATAAAAGTGCACTCTGTTATTTACACGTAAGGTCCTGAGCATGCCTCGTCGCCTGAGTGCTACTAAGGAAAATTTTTTGGCAACGCTTTTGGTATGGCAGCCCAACAGTCAACACAATGGCATTATACAGAATAGGCGTGGCTAAATTTCAAGGCCACTCTCAGCTACTGCTATAACGGTGGCTCAATATTTTCTATACGGTGTCAGTTTGCTAGCGGTCTTTGATGATCTGCAATAAAGTGGTAACTTACACATGCCCTTAGTATGCTGTTGCTTTTCATGGCTGCTAATCGTTGTTAATGTAGAAAACCGGACAGCAGTATGTGTAACGGTTTATGAAGGCCGGCGCTTCAATGACACGCCGAATTACTTTCTTGTCAGGTACCTTTCTACTTTTTCTTTTGTTCACCTTTTGTTCACGGGAAACGTTACTGCCGCTGCTCTGCAATCGCTGATATCAGAAGACGATTCAGCGACAAACTCAGTTACACGCCGACTTTCAGCATGGTCAAATGAGACTTAATGAAACGGTTCTACAGATAATGGCTTTGCATGTCAAGGTTTACTTGTCAAGTAGTATACCAAGAGCATCAATAGCTTGAATAGGATGATTCAGATGACTGACTAACTGGTGCAGCGGTGGCAGCGGAAATCAGGTGCTGATCAATGTCAGATTATATATATATATATATTGCCTTGGAAGCTGTGGAGGCGAGTATAATTTTGAGCATATATGAAATAATGTCGTCGATTACTCATTATACAAAGAAATTAAGAAACCTAAGTTGCCTTTGGATATTGTAATGTCATATGTGTATATATGTCAAACTAAACTAACTTACCATATTACTGTGCTTATGTGCCCCACATTTAAGGTTATGTTTGAAGGAAATTGACATCAGAATTCTCATGGGGCACCATCTATGTAAAATACTTCGCCGATATGACTCAAATCAGTTATTCTTTTGATCAGTGGTAAATTCTGCGTATAGGACGATTAGTTCTTAAGATTCTCAATCCGCTAGCGTTTAAGATATTATACTTGTCAAGTGTCTTTAAAGTCCTTGTTAAATACATCACTTAAGAAAAATGTTTGTTTTATAGTGAAACATCAGTGTTTTAATATAGCATCGTCAAGAACACAAATGTTAGCGCCAAATGTATCGAACTCTTAAATGCCTGGTATTTTTACGCTATGCATCAAATAATCATTTAAAACGACAAGCAGGTACTCCTTATTTTCATTACTTGTGCAGGATTAACCGAGATCATACCGAAATCAAAAAAAGCAGCTACGGTAATTGTCCGTTAAGCGAGCATCTTGCAAAGAGCTGCTGACAAAGTACAGCTTAAATGAACTTTATTCATATTCGTCCATTCGTGGGTTTGAGGCATGTCAAAAGGCTGTATTAGCAGCATACTTTACCCAAAGCTAAAGGTTGTACCATGCTTAAAGTGAGGTCAGTTGCGTACGAGTTTGCTAAGCAAATGAACGTGAAGCTAACGGAAAGCAACCATTGTGACCAGAGAGTAGGGAGGAACTGGATGATGGCTTTTTTGGCACGACAATCAGCTTTCCTTGCGGCAACGCCAAAGGATGTCTTTTGCACGAGCACTAAGCTTTAATAAGCAAGCGGTTAAAGTTTGCTTCAAAAATGTTGAAACTGATGGCGTGCATCAAAAGCAAAAATGTGCATCAAAATATTTTTAGTCTAGACGAGACGTAGCTTTTTATGGTTTCGTTCCTTTAAGCGCAATCACTAAGTGATTCCGCTCAGGGGAACGAAACTATTTGTTCAAATGGCATTACCAAAACGGGGAATCCTTTTTACAATGTTCGCCGTTATGCCCGCAAGTCAAAATACAGTTTCACTGGATTTTATGCCTCTTAAAGTGCACTTCACGGAGCGTACGTTAGTGAGGTCACTCGTTGAAAGTCAAGGTGTTACAAACCCGTCTAGGTGGAGCACAAGGGAAGTGTTTAAAGACTGTCTTAAACAGTTCATCACGATTATTCGCTGTTTCTTAGGAAAGTTATGTCTGCTAATCATGGCTAACTCCGAAATTTAAGTACGATCAAGTTAACTTAGGAAAACATTTTGTTCGAACAAGGTACAACCCCTGGGCGCGACAGTTGCTAGGCTATTCACAGACAGACTCAATACAGCTCAACAGAACTTTGTTATAACATACGTTCGAAGGATAACAACTCATGATTTATACCCAGATTGGTAACAGGTGCTTATGAAGAAATATTTATGATAGCAAATGTCGTTAAAAAGATTTCAGAAAACAGGTATTTTTCCGATGAATGAAAAGGTATTCACAGAAGATGATTTTCTTACTTTAATAACATAGGCTGATAATGAGGGGGAGCTCTTGGGCCTTCGCAGAATGTCATTTTAGCGGAACAGGCGTCCACTCTACGGAAATTTTCGTTGCAGGGAGCTCTGTTGCCGACTGCCACCTTACTGAAAAAAAAGCAGCAGGCAAAACCCGTAAATCGTCTGTTATTCTTGCAGCACAATATTAGTAGCATTGTTTTTAAAAAAATAATAGCTCGTTCACTTAAGCTGTCGGATAGAATTAATTTAGCTATGTTGCTCAAATAAATATGCTGTTTTTTTATCTGTCAGTATTTGTTTTCTTTAAAAAGCTAATTAAATATTTAGGAAAGGAACTAAGGTTATAAGAAAAGTATCTGACCGCCTTGATTACTTTAATTGGCTTCTTCACAGAGAATCAATAGTGGTGCCAGAACCCTAGCAGGTGAGGCTATATGGGCCAAAGACATAGGTGTTTAAAATGTATTAATTTTCGAAAATAAACTGCTTATTTCTTCTCCGTTTTAGGCCGCGAAATAAAAGAGTTGTTGGTAAATAAAGCCCTACTTTTTCTCTACCCGTGGCAGTGGTATTTTTATCTTGCCCCGTGGAAGTTTCTCAACTGTAACGTCTAATAAATTTTGGGCTGTATAACCTCACCCCATATAGTAAAGCCAGTTTCTTTGCGCAAGGCCTATTGTGTATGACATCAGCCTTATTCTCCGAACTTAGATTGAATTTTTGGTTGCCTTGCATCATTCATTTGGTAGGTCAGTCGTTATTTAGGAGTATTCGAAAATATCAACCCAGGAATAACCCCATATAGGTCTCATGCGTTATGGTCTCACCAACAATTCTATGAAAGAAATTATTAGTTGTATACAAACTTAAATTACATAAGAGCTTTGTTATTGCGATATACTTGTGTATGATTGGTATTCATGCAGCAAATATATATAGATTGAAGTAACAGGGCGTGCTCGATTTAAAACATATATATTTTAAAAATATAACGTGCGTTTCTGCGATTTTGGTAACTGACGCTATTATGTATTACGTAAATGTATAGTGATATTGCTAGAAGTTCACTATGTCTAATATTCCATTACAATGATAATTGAACCTGATACAAAGGTAATAAAATTATCGAAGTCAAAAATGGGTTATCAACTGTTGTTTTCTATTTATAGTAAACTCGTGTCTGCCGTAGATTCTTGTGACTGTAGAAGATGGCAAACTGTTGTTGGGATAATACGCTAGTGAATTTGTCTAGAAAGGTTTCTAAGCTACTTAATAAGTACTTAAACAGAGAGTCAATTTATCTATATTTTATGCTTATAGTAAGCCTTCCATTGCTTGAGCCACATTAAACAATTTTCAGATTAGCTCAGCTCTTAGATAAACCTTTTGAAATATTTTTTATTTCTGAGGATATTCTTAATAAAATAATTTTTTAAAATGAGTCATTTTCCTGCGATGGTTTACTGCAACTGACTCAGTAGATCATGAGTCTGGATTCTGCATGCCCTCCTCGGCAAAAATCTGTTATGTGTTAGAAGTGTTTTATAACATAATGGTTGCCACATCGAGTCAACATTATTGGAACTAGATGCATCACCTTATGGTTCGTATAGCCGAATTAGCAGAACGAGTTCAATATGCTTCCGGAACACGGTGCACTTCTTTACAACTGGAATGGCTAGGAATGGAAAACCGAGATTAATACATAATGTCTTAAGGCAAAAAGTGCAGTAGTAAAAAGACCGTTATGATCGCGACATACGTTAATCTAGTTGATTAGCTCGTAGTTTACGTCTCTCAATCTATGTTTTGTTAAACGCAAGGTTGCTTTGTGAGGTACTTCTCAATTCAGACAGCAGGTAGAAAGTAGTTAGTATAGACGGACAACTAGCATTCTCGCTGTCGGCCAGGGGACTCATTCGTTAGCCTCATCTTCCTATGCTTGCTTTGCTGTCCGCCATCCGCCCGAGTCTGCGACAAAAGACGTGTATTAAAAGAGAGTTGGGAAGCTGGATGTAATGACACAATAGATATCGAATGACAATAATGCATATAATAATAATTCCATCTCATAAACAGGTTACCTCTGCTTGCATTATCGAAGAAGCGTGGGCTTTGACTGAGCCGTGCACCCTCTCTTCTTCCTCCCTCCTGCGTGCAATTGTAGCAACTCATACCTGGCAGGGGTATATATCCCTATGCTATAATACACTATCTTCACCTTTCCCCGTTCCGACCCTCTCCACTCCACTCAGAAGGAGTAAGGAGCGACAGGGACGCAACAGGCAACGCAGACTTTCAAGAAAGCACGGTGCACGGGTGCGTGGATGGGTGACTGTGTGCGCCTGTGTGCTTCGTTGACAGAGGACGCGAGTAGCGAACGAAGGAAATCATGGGGAGCCTCACGAGGGTCCGCGGAAAGAGGCAATTTCCCTCCCTCCTTTTGAGTCCCTCACCTTGCTCTTCCCCCGGTGGGTCGTTAGCCCCCGCCTGGACGATCGGGTTGGTTTCAGAGACTCTCTGTTCTTCTTTTGGGAGGCCACTGACGTGCCGATCAGTGTTATTGTCAAATTTCAATCCAAAGGTTCGAATGCCTACTTAATGACGGCGTGCGTGTCAACTGTAGCATCATTTTTACGTCAAGCAGAAGCACACTATTTGGATCTCGCAAGAAGCAAGTAAGCGCTGTCGCGGTGTTTTAGACTGACTACAGTTGATTACTAAATGCGTAACGGCTCTAGCCACTAAATTATTGCAGTACTCCGACGCCAGGATTTGTGCGTTCATATTTATAATCACCTGCTTCGTCAGCGCAGTAGCTGCTGTACAAACGTTGTTGTTACTCAGGTGAGTTCCTCATTCATGAGTGTCAGCCTTCAGCTATAGCTGTCACCAGTATTCTATGACACTTTATTTATATCGTTTCTATATATATATATATATATATATATATATATATAGAAAGATGATGACACACGATCACTTTTGTCTTCTTAGTATTTTCGCGTGCCGATGATACAAAATGCCTTGCGGGTTCAGAATTTTCCGTAAAACTTCCCCGAAGAGAATACGTAACTGCTCTTGCAGTTTTCATTACAACGTGTTAGACAAATCAGATGTTTTTGAATCGAACTCTATTGTAGTTACCTCTTCTAGTTACTAAAAACTACGATAACAAAATCGGAACCGGCTCAGCTCGACCTTAGCTTACTTTATCGAATGTGTCTCTTGCTTACTTTTGCTCATGCGCTTTTCCTGACACAACTACTCCTCTAGCATAGATCCTTTGTAACAGGAAATTAGTTTTTTGCCCTATAAGCTTTTATCGTATCGTGGTGTCTATACCGATAGTCCTACAACATTCTCTTCTCGTATGTTCTTCTTATTGTTCACTCTCTAGTGGTCGGGGACCCGGTGGCTTTCCGGTGCTTTTTGGCCGACGCGACCACATCGCCGCCGCCGCCGATCGTCTCTTTCTGTTTTCTCTTCTTTCTCTCCGAGACAACAACAGACCTTTCAACATGATGTCCCTTTGCGAGAATTTCCCGACCGACAGCCAATAGCTACGACTTCTATCAAAAAACAGCTTCTGTCACGAGCTACTATTATTTGACAACGACATACACTTACAGTTGCTGACACAGGTGGCAAAAAAGACAGGTGAAGCGAAACAAAAGTAATTGATAAATCAGCAAGTAACCATTTGAACTTCGATCGACAGAGGCTAGATATAAGATGATACTAAAACGCGGCGTATAGGTTCTTGCAGTTATTCAACTGGGAAAACGGTGTATGTATACGAGCTGTATTATAGTTGGCTCTTCGTATATGCAATAGAAAAAAGTATTCGGTGTGAAGCTGCATGTTCTGTTAAAGCGACATGCCGTTTAGGAGTGAACCGGCGTTGTATCCCTCTATCCGTCACGCCAACCTCCCTTCTCTCTCTCGAGTGATAGGGTAACACGGAATTTACTCTTTTATTCTACTGTTGACGCTCGTTGTGCTAATAAAGAGGCTCTGAACTATATGTGGTCGTACAGCGGGGGCGTGGGACAGAAAGGTTATGCGATCCAGAGCCTGGGGGGAGGAATGAGTATGAAAGCTGCTGGTGCGTCTGGCCTATGGTTGTATTATGGATTCGCAGGTCGCCTGCTCACCTAAAAGCGCAACTTAACAGCAACGAATTCATGGTGGCCCCAGTTTTGGCGGTAGCTACGCATAGTTCACTCGTCTCTGGTTCATTGTATGCCGCGTATAGATCATCAGTGTTATACTCCTCTCCATTCTTTGGTATTCGTTCCTTCCCGTATTACCATCCTAGCAAAGGAGTAGCAAGCGTGAATGCAATTTTACCTCATAAGATTGGTATTCGATTAATAGTTAGATTAATAGGTGTAGTTCATCCATGAACTACTCCTTCTTTAGCTTTAAAGGTAGATTCTATTCCTGATCACTTGAATCAATTAGTATTATGTGGGTATCGACCAGGTTCATATTATGGTCAAATACGGTTCAAAAATTTGTACGGAGAATACAGTTCTCTGCCTTTCCGTCTGGCTTTTGTTTTTTGCCCACTGTCGTCTATGCAAGCAAAGTCGGCTGAACCAACTTTGTTGGAGCAGTAGAATTTTACACACAGGCGTATGGCAGGCAAATCTTCCAGTAACAAAACATAAAAAAAGCAAGAATTATATGAAATACGCAACGCTTCATGATTTTTCTTCTGCAATAAAAGGAATTCGCCTTGTGTTTTCTTACTGGCTATCTCCTGACCTCATAAGGCTCTCTTCTCACACGAAAGCATGAGCTTAAAACAGAAGTATTAAAATGCAGTTAGTTACCTATGTGCTTTATATTTCGGCAATGCACTCGCAGTTATAACCTAACCATATCAAATAATAACCTTGCAGTCATTCATGCATAGTCTGAAGTTAGCTTTCTATATATAGATAACCCCAATCTCTAGCCCTGAGGAAAGTCTATTAATGGCTGCTCTAATGCAATAATTGCTTTTTATTATCACACGTTAGTAGTACGTGCATATATCTGTGCGTATCTAGTTTTTTGCTACTATTCGCTGCCGGTTACCTATGTTTATTGAACCACAAGGCTAGTTGGCTGATTTGTTCAGTTTTTGTGTTGTATCTTTTTATTTTATGAGAGGCAGTTATCTTCTGTTAAACACGACCATATGTTTCTTGCATAAAGTGTAAACTTGATCTACAAAAATAGCTAACGAATCATTTTCATATTTTCCTTGTCATACCTTTATACACGATGTCATAGTGTGCTCTAATTGCTGTAATATCAGTTCATTATTAATCCATGTGGAACTCTTCTTTATAACTTCTTTTTAGATGTTGCGATTGCACTTCCACCTTTGCTTTCTCTTTCAAAAATAGGCAGGGCTATCTTAGATGTTCTTAGCAGATTATAAACCTTAACAGAGAATCAATTTGTAACAGGAGTACAGTGAAATTAGCGGCATCTCAAAGTTTGCAAAAGGAGATTGGTTTTTTTACCCTAAACCCATGTTTAAGGACAGAAGTTGAACCGTGTGGATGCACTGTCAGTCTATCATGAGAATTGTATATACCTGCGGTAATAATCTATACCATGTGATGTTATTTGTTCGGCAAAGCAGGGAAGTTTGGCTGACAAGTGTTTTGAATTAGATGAGTATTTCTTGAATAATGGTATACATCCGGGTTTCCGTTGAATTCGTTCCTAGGGTTTAGAACTTAAACTCGGACCGAACGATGGACAGTGACTATGTGTTGGAAGACACACGAGAGGCGCCACATGAAACGAGCCAAGTTGAGGGACTTGGGGAAGGGGAGACGCAGAAGACAGGGGAGTTGGGAGCAGGGAAGGGAGACAGAATATGAGCGGCGAGGCAAGCGGATCTCTCTTTGGCAAGCTCAACAGGAGAGATGAGAATGGAAAGGAGTTTCTGCGGATAAGAGCAGAGCGGACGACGAAACGGCATGCTCCTGGAGAGTCTGTGCGTTGAATGAAACTCGAAACCGCCCCAGCTCTCTAACTTGCTTTCACTCTCATCAACAGCGTTTTCAAAGCTCATCCTGGTCGTTGGCGGCAGCTACCATAGAATACACGCCAGAGGGCTTGAGTTCCTATCCGGCAGCCTGACCCAGAAACGCGAGCTGGTGCTTCCTTGGTACTACCGTCGTTACAAGGCTTTTTTAATTAACTGCCTTCAGAAAGGATGCTATTCAAAAAATAGGGCCGTGCTTGAGGTTGTCCTGTTCCCAGCTGACATACTTCGGTTTTGATATCATTCAATGGAAAGCAGCTGGGATACCAACATATCAATAGAATGAAGTGGAATTATGCCATTCATTGTGAGGAAACACTAGACCTTAATACATACAATGCATTACTACTTTTATAACAGTAGAATACCGCGACGAATCTCTGACCAGTAACTCAATAAACCTACAAAACTACTAGCAAAAGTTAAATAAAAAGAACAGTATCCGATGTGTTTTCCTAATTTAGAAAAATGCTTGCAACAATAAATAAAGACGAACTTCCTTGCTTGCCTTGTCAATTTATGAGCGTCGTTTCGTAGTCCGACGTACATTTAGACACGTATACACGAAGGCAGTTAGAAAAAAAACGAACTGGAAAGCTGCAGTTTGGGCGAACAGAGGGTTTTAGAGTGCTCTTAAGTGTGGGAGTTAGTTCGTTGAACATAGCAGCGGTATACTACTGAGCAAATGTCTGCTAGAGCTTGTTGGGATCGCCTATTTCAGACATGTTGTCAGTGAGTTGGTAAGCTGGCTTGTAATACTCAGAAGAATTTCAATATGTGGTGGGTGTATTTCTGCGATGCTACCAGCTCAAGGCCTAGAGTAGGGCCTTACATTTCGCCTCTCCTTTATCTTCTATGTTACGATCGGCCACCCCAAAAAGGTTTATAATCAGACGTCCGCCATTTTCTCACAGCGGGCTACTTGCTCGGCTACTCAAGCTGACAAGGTGAGGCCCGTCTCGATCACGTTGAACAGAGCCTATATCCCCTTTCTCTAAGCTGTGACCGTTGTCTGGGATACAATTCTGAGTCCTAGCACTTCGGGCATTGGCAGCTTAATTGATATTGAAGCGCGTGGTTCTCAATCGACGCATTGAAGTTTTCCTTAACCACTTCACCGGCAAACGCTTCCATTCGCTACAGAAAACTTCTAGGAGTTGTTCAGGCAGGCTGATATAGTAGAATGGGCGGTGTTAGTAATTATCAAGTAATTAAGTCAAATTGATTGCTGATTACACACAAAGCATGCAAAGATGGAAGCGAATTTTTGTTGCCAGAGCAAAAAAGTTCCAACGTTTTTGTGATCGATCTGGTACTAAATCGTTCCGATCAGTCTGAACCACTGCGCAGCCGTTGGGAACTTTTTGCAAACGTTCTGCTTTTAAGTTTTTAACGATACCCTATTTGAAGTCCAAGTTTACAGTAACACCCGAGGACGACCAATATATGTGCATCAACATTATGCGGTATAAAGCTTCGAATATTTCATTATATTCAGAAAGTAGGATCAGAATTTTTTGCATTAAATGCAGTGTGAACCTTTTACCCTGCTTACTCTTCTTTTTTTGTAAAGTAAATAGCGGCATCTGTACTCAAAAAAAGAGTTTCTGGTCGGACAGTCATAAGAATCATTTAAAGACAAAAATATGTGATAACGTATATTAGTTGGTTTGCCAGTTCATGAGTATCAAGAAAATCATGCGGATAGTTACAAACAAACAGAAAAGTGTTTTGTACCCCGATCACTACAGCTAAGATGCAATAATGCTTTTTTTTCAATGTTTTGTACCTA